ATATTGGTCGAAGAAAAATTCTCCACTACTGTGTATCGCACTTCAATCTAATCAAGATATCATTAGTGATTTATATGATCCCAGCTCAATTTTGTTAGATCTTTATGATTACAATGCATTGTTTCTAAATATAAAGATTGTAAAACCTGCATATAGCGAAAATCTTCACATTAACAATAACTTATTATACTCAATACTTGCAAGCTTCGAGGAATCTGTGGCAATATATACCGATGCTTCAAAGTCCAAGGATGGTGTGGGATGTGCTTTTTATATTCCCTCCAAAAATATTAATTATTCCTACAAACTAGATAACATATTTTCTATATTTAGTGCTGAAGCTATTGCAATCTACGAAGCGTTGACATTTTTATCACAATCTACAATTGATTCTGCAGTAATTATATCGGACTCCCTGTCTGTTTTAAATTCCTTGGTTTTGGCAAAATACCCAAGTTACAGCTCCAATTATATCATATATGCAATTAAAAAACGGATTTTAGAACTGCAAAATATTAACAAACACATTAATTTTGTATGGATTAAAGCACATATCGGTCTCGAACATAACGAGTATGTGGATATGCTGGCAAAGAAAAGTGTAAAAAATGGTTTGACAAATCAACTACCTGTAAGTTTTTGTGATGCAGTAGCTTATATTAGAATGAATTATCTTAATATTTGGAACAAATGTTGGTCACAATATACTTATACCAACCCTTCTAGATACTGCAGTATACAAAATCAAATACCGAATAAAACGTGGTTCCAACAATATAATTATTCCAGAAAACATATCACAACGATAACACGTCTTAGATTTGGTCACGCCTGTTATCCCACACATCTCCATAAAATTCATGTTCTTGAAAATGATCTTTGTCAAAATTGTGGCAAAAAAGGTGATTTAGATCATATTTTTTTCGAATGCCAAAAATATAAGGATGAAACAGATCAATTTATTCAACAATTACATGATCTCAATGTACAGGCTCCGTTTAATATCCTTAGTCTCTTAGCTAATGGAAATGAGAGAATTTATAATGCATTAGTAAAATTTCTGTCAGGTACCAAAATAGTCTTTTAGTGACAACTATAAAAAAATATATGTATATGCAAACTTGTGGTGAGCAACTTGGACAGTCCATAGCAAAGCAGCTGTCGAATTGAGTAGATAGCTGCTCAAGAGTTTGCTATGGAACTCTGAGAACCTCATCATCTTGTTTGTATGTAAATATAGATAAAAGTGAGATAATACAAAAAAAAAATTAGTATTTTGAATTATATTATGTGTACTTTTTTTGAACACACTGATGATGTTAAAAAGATGCTATATATTTAACTTTTATCCTATTTTATTTTTAGCTCTTAAAGCATATTATTCAGCTCTTCGTTATTGATATTTTATGGACCTTACGGTAATAAAATTCTTATGTTTAAGGTAGTAGTCATGTTGTAACTGGCTGATTGACACCTAGTCTATGCCAATAAAAAAACAAAAAAAAAAAAAAAAAAAAAAAAAATAATATGTTTCATTATATTTAGATATAGATACCTAATATTAGGCTTATGAAAAAGTAGACAGAACGAGTCTATTGCGAATAGCATGTGCCTACAGGACTGTACCTGCGGCGGCCTTGTGGACTATCACGGGTTGTGTTCCTCTGCGGTAAAAAAGAGACATCTTTGTGAGAAAAGAAAGTATTTGACAACAGCTATAAAAAAAGAAGAAAGGGAAAGATCAATGGAAAGATGGCAAGAAGAGTGGAACAACAAGGAAGAGGTTGCCCAGTGGGCCAAGATGCTGATCCCGAGCCTAAGGGCCTGGGTAGATTGTCTGTTTTAGGTATGGTAACGTATCTTCATAGGTTCAGAAAGGCAGATATAGATAAATGCCTATACTGCGAATATTCCGACATTGTTACTCACACAATGCTGGAGTGTAATAGATGTACAGTGGAGAGAAACAGAAAGGACAGAGATAAGATCTAATTACTATTTTAATGGAAATAAGCCGTAATTGAAGGTTAAAATAAGTTTATTGACGTTTGAATTTTTGATCTTTGATCTTGCACTGATAACTTGTTTATACTCCAATAATTAATAGAAAAAAGAATAGCGGAATAGAAAGTACATCTAGCCTTTATCGACCTAGAAAAGGCGTATGATACAGTTCCAAGACTTAAATTGTGGCAAGCTTTACAACAACTCGACATTAGTCAATACCTTTTAGGAATAATCACATAAGTATACAGGGATAACACTACTTACCTAAAAATCGGAAATAGACTATCAGAGTCAATAAAAGTAACTAAAGAACTAAAACAGGGATGCACTATGTCACGCTTACTGTTTAATTTATACATTTAGGTAAGCCTCCAAAATTTGAAAAACCACTACCACGGAATAGAAATCCCCATAGAAAATGACGTACTGTTCTCCCTGAACTTTGTGGATGACCAAGTCGTCCCAGCTTAAGATTCTTATGAAGGTTTGAAGTGTTGATAGACGAGGATGAGGAAATCAAACAAGTGGAAACATTTAAATATTTAGGTGCACTCATTGATAAGAATGGCTTTGGAGAAACCGAAATTAAACACCGAATTAATCAGGAACGTAAAATTGTAGTATGTCTGAACTCCTTATGGTGAGATCACAACATTTTCAAAAGGAACAAAAAAGAATAGATGAAATGAGGTTGAATGCTCGAATGAATGAACTTTGAAAATAAGGCTATTATCGAGCACAAGTTAATTAAATCTAGCCCAAGTACTTTCGCTTAAAATAGCATCTTCAGGGGCATCTGAAATAAGCCAAGAAAACGTTTTTTAGATGAAGTAAATTAGTTAACTTCGATAAAAAACTCGAAGTTAATGGATGAAAAAAGTTTTTGAGATTAACGTTTTAGACTTACTTCGTCAAAATAAGAACTATCCGGCAAGCGTAGGATGTGGAAACATTAAAACTAACATAAATTATACAAAACACTACACTAAAACGAGGACAAACAGTTTAAAATTACTTCTACGCTACATTCTCTGTCAGTTTCTGGAGGGATAATGATCTAAGCGGAAATGATACGGTGACATATGACATATGACAACTTTGATAGGCAGTCAAAGTTATGGATCTGTGATCAGCAAATATTGAAATTCTGTATAAGTTGTCATTGGCCAAAGGTCCAACTAGAACTACTACTGAAAAATCAGCTGATGACGTATGACATGTAGAATATTTTGATTTAAACTAGATTGCATAATCCAGATCTCACACTCACACCCGTCTGTAATAATAAGGTTGTAGGTTTGAGGCTAAATGAAGTGTACATAAAGTGTGAATGAAAGAAATAGACCAAACGATCTATTGGACAGTGGGTAGTTGACTACAATAAAATGGTCTACCTTACACTGTCAATATTGCAAAATGAGAAGAAAATTGACTATAAAATTGAAATATTAAAATTAGATCAGAATTGAAAGCAGTGTGTAAATGGGTATAGTTCAAGTAGTTCAGTTAAACCTCAAGCCAATGGGGTACTATAAAACTAATATGTAATAGCATTACTAAAGACCAACCGAACAACAGGTGTTGAAATATAAACTGTGGAATTATTATATGTAGGTTATGCAGAGATATGAAGAGTGAAATCAACTCCAACTGTGGATCAATTAAATCTGAGCAAGCTAGTTGTGTAAATTGTTAAATGCAATAGTACTGCTGAACAGAGCTTGAAATTGGTAGATTCTTAATGTATAGACTCAGTGCAGGAAGTCTAGACAGCCGAGCTGGGTCCACTACGAGGTGAAGCTGTAATAAAGTTTTTAAAAATAGGTTTAAATTTAGTACAGTTTAAATTAATTTGAGTATTAAGACAATGAGGAGAACTTGCCGGATAGTTCTTATTTTGACGAAGTAAGTCTAAAACGTTAATCTCAAAAACTTTTTTCATCCATTAACTTCGAGTTTTTTATCGAAGTTAACTAATTTACTTCATCTAAAAAACGTTTTCTTGGCGTATTTCAGATGCCCCTGAAGATGCTATTTTAAGCGAAAGTAGTTGGGCTAGATTTAATTAACTTGTGCTCGATAATAGCCTTATTTTCAAAAAAAAGAATAGAGCAAACCGTTGTTGAATCAGTTTTTTGTTACGGCTGTGAAATACGGACAATTAATGCAGACCTGAAGAGATGATTTTTGGCAGTTGAAATTAATTATTTGAGAAAAGTGCTAGAACATCAAGGCAGAAAAAGAAGACCAACGAATCTATAAGAAATAACATGAATGCTACAAAAACGGCCATTCACGGAATAGAAAGAAGAGGTTCAAAATGGTTTGAACACCTATTGAGAATACCTGATGAACGTTGGCCACAAAACTTCACAAATGGAAGCCCCCTGAAGAAGAAAAAGAGGTAGACCTCGACGCTCATGGAATGAAGGAATTAGAAGAGCGATTTAATGGAGAGGTTTAGAGGAGGAGCATGCCTTGGACTATGAGGATTGGCGGAGGAGAACGGAAATACGGCGATAGCCGTCTCCCCGTTGGATTAATGTCAAACGACAATATAAACTTATTTTAAAATGCCACAAGAAAATAGCTTTAGAACGATAGATAAGATCTAGATAAGAGAAGGGATAAAACCCAAATTTTAGGGACTCAAAATGGAGTAAAAAAATTCAAACCCCCTCCCCTTAGACAATTTCTGGGTTCACCATTCCGAACGGTGGGTATTGGATATATTTGTAGGTTACATTCGAAAGTTTTTTCAGCAAATAAATCACGATTAATAATAGACACTAAAAGCATACCATTAACTTTGTTCTTATTCTTGTATACAAGAAGCCCAAAATATGCTGTCATGCTCTAAATCTTAACTGATCTTGGGTGTGAAAGGCAGGATATTATTAAATGTTTATAAAACATTTTTCAAATTTGTTTATTACATGTTCCAACTTTTTTAATTAAATTTTGATTCATTATTACAACATTGTTTGCCTTAGGTGTTCCTATATCGATAAAAGGTAGTATCGAAGTAGCCAAAATGAAGAGTACAGCTGGAATGGTAACCAGAGCCAACGTCATAGCAGATCATGATGCAGTTACCGTAAAATATGCCAGAGAAGCCGGAGCTATACTTTTGGTAACGACCAACATTCCGGAGTTATGCTTAAATTGGGAATCGACCAATAAACTTGTAGGAACGACAAAGAATCCCTACGATACGTCTAGGACTTGTGGAGGATCATCTGGAGGTGAGGTAGGAGAAATTTTTAACTCATTAATAAATACCTAATTAGAATCATAATTGAAAAACAATAATAATCAGTAAATGAAAAGATTTTAAAAATATTGCAATATTTGTTTAAATATTATACATGTTATGTATTCATTGCTTTTCGGGTTTAAAGACCTCAGATAGTAATAATGTCTTCCATATACTTTGTTTGAGACGGCGGTAGGTATTTGAAAATATTTGCTACTATCGCCGATGAAAATTTAGGAAGAAATAATTACAGATCACGGCCTGTAAGCTCGGAAATCAGTGTATGGTTTTATCCAAATAAAAATAATTTTATCAGTGCCTAACGATTGTCCATGATAAAGAAAATATCGAATTCAAAACACATAATTAAATAGAAGTACAATGTCCGACCAGGTGATGCTGGCCAACCTTATTTAGAGAAGGATTAATAAATATGAACAAAGCATAGTTAAAGAATACCAGGCAGGCTTTCGAAGAGTACGATCTTCTACAGACCAGATCATCACTCTAAAACAGTTTCTACATAGCAATCATGAACACAAGTTACTTATGTTACTAACACAGAAACCGACCAATGATAAATAGATAGAAATGAAATTTATGAAATGAAATAGTAGACAGGACAAACATGATTCATGTAAATGGTAATAAATCTCAAGCTTTTCTAACCAACCGGGGTATGGGAGGGTGAGACCCCTTATCGACTACACTATTCAATTTTAGAAAATACCTTAAAGGAGGATAATATTCATAAGAAATATACACTATATATTAAAAAAAACATATTTTGACGACGTTTTGGCAAGGTCACTCCCTCCATTTGGACATTTTGGACGTTTGACGACTTTTCTCGTGAAATGTAAACTGTGACTACTTATTAACTGTGAAAATTCTAATCCAAAAAACAAACGAATATAATATCCCGATATATTCAGTTTTTGTAGATTTTGGAAGAACTTTTCACAGTATGGAACACGGTGCAATAGAATGATCACTAAATAGCAGTAGGTAGATTACAGATATTCTAAAGTCAAAACCACATGGAAGCACACAAAAAAATTTCTTGATTAGAATTACTATCCTAGTCATAAATTATTTTCAGTAATAAAACTCAGGTATGAATTTGTTTTAAGCGCTCAGTTGTTAGTTATAAGCATATTTTTTATACTCTCTATATGTTTGAATATATTACTCTGAATTTGTTAAATATCATAAAAATCGGTTACACTACAATAACAACATTATCATAATTCTCTTTGCTTTTATTTCTATTCGGGGTCGGCTTCCCTAATAACAGTTTTTATCTTGGGCCATATCAATATTAATACCCTATACCGACATACTCTGCCTAAGCGTTTCCACTCCAGGTCTTTTTTGGTCTTCCTCTCCTACTTCTTCCAGGAACCCGCAGATCATTGGGTGATTAACATGTTATTAACAACATTAAATATGATCAAACCATCCTTACCTATACTCTCTCATCTTAGCAACAATCACTGCCATCTACAAACTATTAGAGAGGCTTATATAATAGAATCGGTACAGAACTGTTCCAGGTGATCCCAGTCGAACAAGAGGGTTTTCAACCAGAACGAAGCTGCGCGGACCAGGTAATATCACTCATCACCTACATGGAAGCGGGTTTCCAAAGAAGACTTAAAACTTCTTTAAAAATTTATTGATCTCTCGTCAGCTTACGATACAGTATGGAGAGAGAGCCTTATATACAAAATTCTCCGTGCAATCCCCTGTAAACAAATAGTACGTTTAATAGATAGCATGCTTAACGACCAAATGTTTCCAGTAGTGATGGGCACAGATATCAGCCCACCAAAGAAACTTAAGAATGGCATACCACAGGTGTCAGTGCTCTCTTCATTACTATTAAGCTTACATTTAGCAGATATGCCGGAAACACAATCAAGAAAGTTCGGATACGCCGATGACTGGGCCCTCACTACACGATCCAGAACACTAGAAACATCTGAAGAAGTTCTGACGGCAGACTTATATATATTGAACAAATATTTTCGCAAGTGGCGGCTTCAATCAAATGCATCCAACACAGAAGTTAGTTGCTTTCACCTGAACAATAAACTTGCTGGAAAGGAACTCAACATACGGTTTGAAAATACCACACTTTCCCACAACAAAACACCGAAGTACCTGGGCGTAACACTAGACAGAACGCTATCATTTAAAGAGCATTTAACAAAAACTGCCCAAAAGTTGAGTACAAGAAATTACATTATACAGAAGCTCTGCGATACCACCTGGGGAGCATCGGCTTCCACTCTCCGCTCTACTGCCTTAGCCCTTGTTTTCTCGACAGCTGAATATTGTGCCCCAGTTTGGCTGTCTACAGTCCACACGTAAAAAAAGGTCGACACTCAGCTGCATAGCACTATGAGGATGATAACTGGTACAAATAAATCAACTCCCACCCAATGGCTTCCAGTATTAAGTCACATTCCACCTCCACATTTACGACGAGGTGACGCACTTACACGTGAATACAAAAAGATCATGATCAATATAAACCAGCCGATCCACCAAGATACCGAGGATGCACGAAATATCCGTCTACGTTCTAGAAAACCACCAATGAAAACGGCAAGAATGATACATGAGGAGTTCAACATCACGAATGCATGGTCCCAAGAATGGAATGCATAGCAAAATAACATGCCCTGCATTACCCACAAGCCACCAGGTTTTGATCTTCCACGTAAAACATGGTCCACTCTAAACAGGATCCGAACCAGACATGGCAGATGTGCGTACATGCTACATAAATGGGGAAAAAATCCGTCTCCTGAATGTGACTGTGGGAAGAACTAAACGATCGACCACATTATTGAAGAATGTCCCTCAAGATCCTACAATGGTAGTCCTGAAGACTTCCTGTTTGCAACTGCAGAGTCAATTGATTATGTTAATATACTTGATGTTTGTTTTGTAACTATTTAAAGTTTGTCATATACCTATATTACTAGTGTTTGTAATTTTGCTCTAAATGTGTTGTAATTGTCATACGATAAATAAAATAAAATTGGCAACAATCGGTGCCACCCCTAGACTTTCCTAATATACTCATTCCTAACTTTATACTTTTGTGTCACTACACGCATCCCTCCAAGCATTTTCATTTCTGCCACATGCATTCGTTAACTTAACTGTCCAACAATCAATTCCGTACATCATAGCTGGTCTTATAACTGTTGTATAGAATTCTCCCTTCAGCTTTATTGGAATTTTCCTGTTACACAACACACCACTCGCTTTCTTCCATCACCACTTCATTCATCCAACCCTAATTCCACTGCATGCATTACCATCTCTTCCCCCATTACTTTGTAAGATCGATCCGAGGTACATAAATACTATTACTTTTCACAATCATTTCATCATCCAAATATATCACTCTATTTGTAGTAACTCTATCTCTAAATTAATATTCCAAATACTCTGTTTTTGTCCTACTAAGTTTTAAACTTTTTTCCTCAAGAGCTTGTCTCCACTATTTCAGTTTTTGTTCGAAGTCACTTTCCGAATTTCCTACTAACACTACATCATCAGCATACATTAATAACCACGGAATATTAATCTGTAGTTTTACTGTTAGTTGATCCAGAACTAATGAGAAAAAATAAGGACTGAGTACAGAGCCTTGTTGCAATTCTACTTAAACATGAAATTTATCAGTCTCTGCTACACCTGTCCTAACACTAGTTGTTACTCCCTCCTGCATGTCTCTCACAATCTTTACATATTCACCAAGGACTCCTTTCTTATTGAGTACCCACCACAGAATCTCTCCGAGGAACTCTATCATATGCTTTCTCAAGATTAATGAATACCATATCAGCGTTTGTTTCTTTATTATTACCTTATAATGACAATTGCGTCTGTTGTTGATCTGCCTTACTGATTGCATAAAGACAAACTGATTATCGGATATTTTGGTTTCTTCACGCATTCGTCTATCAATTAGTCCCTCCCATATTTTCATGCTGTTTGTTTCTAAGTAGGTTTTGCCTTGTAGTTTGTACATTGTTGTACATCTCTCTTGATTTTGTAAATAGGTACTAATACACTGCTTGTCCAATCATCTGACATTTGTCCAACTTCCATAATTCTATTAAATAGACTTGTTAACCAATGTGTTCCTGTCTCTCCTAATGGTTTCCACGCTTCTTCTTCTTCTTATAGTGTCTATCTATTTCGGATATTGCAAACTGCAGCTCTGAAAAGAGTTGTGGTTGTTGTGTTGAACCACGTAGATAGATTTGGCTTCTATTTTTTTGGTATCAACTTGGTCATATAGATTAATATACGCTTCACAAAATACAATATACAATAGCAAAAAATAAATATACGATACATTCCTACGATCTAGATAAATTACTTTTACCATGAAACTTACTTTAAAAATATATTTTTTTAATGTGTCATTAATTTTTTTTTCAGGCTAGCCTTTTGGCAACTGCTGGATCTATTATAGGCATTGGATCGGACATAGCTGGATCGTTGAGACTTCCCGCACACTTTTGTGGCGTTTGGGGCCATAAGCCGACTCCGGGGACGGTCTCTAGTGTTGGTCATTATCCCAGCTGTAAGCATGAGGACGTGTGGAAAGCTGCCTTTACTTTAGGACCTATGTCGAGATACGCAGGAGACCTGAAGCTATTGCTACAAGTTATTTCAGAACCAAATTTTAGAAACAAACTAAGATTGCATGAACCAGTAAGTAGAATACATATTTAACCGATATGTTCATTGTATTTTATTAACAAACCTATATATACATATCGTAAGTTTGTTTATAAAATTATAAACATAAAAACAATTGACACCAAGTTAAGAATCTTTAAGGCATATATTGTTGTTAGTGGAAGCATATTTTATAAGACTTTTTTTTATTCGTATTGCTGGCCATAGGATTCTTCTAGTTCCTCGTTGGTCATAGTTTGAGTTTGAGATCTTTTCGCTTCATAAGTTTTCCAGTTTCCTATTTTTCTATACCGACTATCATTGTTGAGACATTCGTTGTGTTCAGCCCATTTCTACTTTAGTTTGACTTCCTCTTCAGTTAAGTCTTACACTTTTAGCGTAATCCAAAGTTGCGCAATAGTTTGGTGATCTTTGAATAACATACCCAGAATCTGTCTTTCCATATGTCTCTAGGTTTTCTTGTTAAATTATCCATGTTTACTTTAGAAAATGTCGAGGCCCGAGCTCCATATGTGAGAAGGGGAATGAGCATATACCCACCTGTATTATGTCTCTTCTTTTAAGTGCCGACTTTATCGGTGGAAGTGAGAACAGCATTGGGAGAACTGTGGGTAGTTTTGTGTAATTCTCAAAAGTTTCTTCAGCTGCAAACACTGCCTACGGTCAGATACTCTGCAATTCGTGATCTTTCTACTAATCGTCTTCCTATTGGAGAACCGTCTCTTGTCGTCTTTACTACTCTCTTTGTTATCATTCGGCTTATATAATTGTTCCCTACGTCGTACATCTGTACTTCTAGCTCTATCTCATAGTGTTTTGCCATAAACGTTTTTAAGTGTTTTCACCTCTGGTGTTTCTAACATCCTTTTTGTCCTCTCTATGTCAGGTCGTGTTTCTGCCGCGTATCATTATTGGTCTGATAACTGTTTTGTAAATTATGTCCTTCATTTCTTTCCCGATATTTTCATTTCTCCATATTGTTTGATTCAGACAACCTGCGGCTCTGTTTGTTCTATTCACTTAATCTTCCACTTCTGTTTCAAGCTTTCCGTAGCTATATAATGTGATGTTTAGATATTTAAACTCCATCACTTGTTTTATTATCTGACCTTCCAGCTCCAATTTACATCTTAATAAAATTGTTATTATAACCATGCATTTTTTTGGGGAAATTAATATGTTAAATTTTCTTACGGTTATATAGAATTGGTGCAGTATACCTTGTAAATTATCTTCACTTTGAGAGAGTAGTATTGCGTCGTCTGCTTATCAGATTATTTTAAGTTGTTTTTCTACCATTTTGTATCCATTTTTAGTTCTTACTTTTATTATTATTTCATCTATAATAATATTCAACAATAAAGGACTCAGGGCTTCAATAAGGACCGTTAGTTTTTCTTCTACTTTTACTTTTATTGTGTTGTTTTGGCAAATATGTTCGATCGTTGTGATTATTCCTAGATGTATCTCTCTTGTGTACAAAAGTGGATAATGTCCTTTAATTTGACAAGGTCAAATGCTTTCTTAAGGTTTATGAAGCATAGATATGCAAATTTCTTGTATTCTACTGATTTCTTTTCCACCTGCCTCTTTATAAATGTAGCGTCGATGCATTCTCTTCCCGACCTAAAACCTTGTTGTTCTTCTGTTAGTGTTGTAATTTCATTCAGTTTATTTGTCACTTCACTTTGGTTGTTAATTTTAGTGTTGTGTTAAATTGTTTCTTCTGTAATTTTTCCTGTCCGATTTGTCTTCCTTTTTAAGGGAGTGTTGTGTTAAACTCTGTTTTGTTCTATTATTCCTTGGATTAGTTTTAATAGTTGTTTAGTCAGATCTGGTCCTCCGTACTTTAGGTCCGTTCGGTATTCTGTCCTCTCCTAGTGATTTAATTCCTATACTTTTTAATTTCCTTAATGCTTCTTAACTCTTTCTCTTCAATATTTATTTCTGCGTTTGTCGTCACTTCTGGTGTTGGTGGTTCATTATCGTCACTTTTATCATAGAGGATCGAAAGTAGTCTATCCATGTTTCCTTCTGAATGTGTTTTATTTTTCTCAATTTGTTTATCTCTTTTCATTGTCCTCTGATCATTCTCCATATTTATTTTTGTGTTCCGTAGAAGTTGTGTTCCATCTGTTTTGAGAAGCTCTGCCAGTGTTCCCTTTTTATTTGTCTTACTAAAATATTCGTTTCGTTTCTTATTCGTTTATAGTGGTTATATGCCTGTTGTGCTTGTTGTGTACTGTATTGTAAAAAGGCTTTCTTCTTTTCTTCACATTTCGTCTTCACTTCCTCTCTAAACCATGTTGTTTTTTTATATGTTAGTGTTCGTTACTTTCCTCTTTCCAAGTGATTCTGTTGCTGCGTTAATTATGTTATGTTTGGGTTTTCTCAGCTTTGGCGATCTTCTCTGATAATTTTTGTCTGTATTCCGTGGATTGGGTTTTTGTTAGTGTTGGCGCCGTTCTTTTGGGTGTGAAGTGTTTCAGGATGATTCTTAATTTACATAATACTAGGCTATGGTCGCTACCTATGGTGTAGGAGAATTGATATGCTGAACAACGCTTTTTTGGTTCCAGGAGTTGATCTAAAACCAAAACTTTGTTTGATACTTATATCGTTGCCACATTTTTTGTAGATTCTGCGATTAATGATTTTTCCATGTAGTTTTAGGGGTTGGCTCATCAGACTTATCAGACGAAACTATTCATATTTGCTGGCATTGAATTTTTTCGTAATTGGTATCAAAAACGATTTTAGCCTATCTTTCCATAGCTCTCCTGCTTGCTACTCTTCTTCTTTATGTGCCGTCTTCTACCGAAAGTTGGCGACCATCATATGATAGGTTTTTCTGTTTTGTGCCGCATGAATTATGTTCGCAGCTTCTGGTATTTGAAACCATTCTCTCAATTTTCTCAGCCAGGATTTCTTCTTTCTGCCCAAACCTCTTCTACCTTCAATCTTGCCTTCCACGATAAGCTGTAGCAGACTGTACTTATCATTACGGAACACATGGCCCAGGTATGACGCTTTCCTCCTTTTAACAGTTGTTAACAATTCCACCTCTTTACCCATTCGTCTTAATACCTCTGTGTTGGTCACTCTGTCTGTCCAAGGTATTCTCAGTATGCGTCGATACAGCCACATTTCTAGAGCCGCTAACTTCTTTATAGTTGCTGCTGTTAACGTCCACCCTTCTACGCCGTAAAGTAGCGTAGAGAGTACGTAGCATTTCGTGGCGCGCCATCGGAGGTTAATGCTTAGGTTGCGGTTGCTTAGGAGCTTTCTCATTTTGATGAATTTGGATCTTGCTATTTCAATTCGGATCTTAATCTCTACTTCTGGGTCCCACTTGTCGTTTACTGTATATCCCAGATATTTAAATTGGTGTACTCTTTCAATACGTTCGTCTTCAATATGCAGGTCGATATGTTGCAATTTTTTTTTACTGATCACCATAAATTTAGTTTTCTTTCTATTGATCTTCAGTCCAAATCGGCTGCCAGTTGTATTAACTCTATGTAGCATCATCTGTAAATCTTCGATGTTATCGGCCAGTATAATAGTATCATCTGCATATCGAAAATTACTTATTGGTACGCCATTAATCTTGATGCCCTGCTTGCTACACTTTGTTAAAAAGCTCTACTAATATGTCCATATTATCTGTATTTATGTTTTAACATTTATGAGTATATTTCGTCTAGTTCTGATGGTTTGCCGTTTTAATTTTTTTTATTTTATGACCTTAACAATTTCGCCTATCATTATAGGTGGGCTAGGTTCACGTTCTCTTAGTGTAAACTGGATCGTGTTATTCTTACTGCATAATAGTTTCTCTATATATTTGGTCCATACTTCTTATTCTTCTGCTTGATTGCTTGAATGCTTGATTAGTTATCAACTTATTGTCATTGTTGGTAACGCGATATATGAGCGTTTTATCGGTTTCTCTATTAACAACTTCTATATTTTTTGTGCATGTTAAACAGATCATGTTTGTCTTTTAGCGTAGTTACTTTATTTTATGTACATTATACATAGACATATAATACAAAATAGACTGATCATTGTAATACCAGCCTCTTTCTCAAGTGCGAAGGAGAGAACTGTCGCAAAGCAGTCTCTGCATCTCTTTCTAATTTGCCAGTTTTATCTACCACGTGACCTAAATGATCAATGAAAAGGTCACGTGGTTGATAAACCCGGCCCATTAGACAAAGATCCAGGGACAACTATAGAAACGCGACTGTATTGCAGCAATCAGTTTATCTTGTATTATATTTTTATGATATTAAATAATATAACATATAATAATATGGCATATAACTTATTATTTTACATCTTAGGTAGACGTCAAGGAATTAAGAGTATTTTATGTAGACGACATTCAGTCAGCACTGACAGGCAAAGTGAATGAGGAATGTTTGGAAGCAATATACAATGTTGTAGAACATTTAGAACAAATATGTCATACTAATGCTGAAAAGGTTAGTAAATTATTTTAATTCTATTTAACACATGAAATTATATTGTCATAAATATAAATCATTTAAATTACTTAAACCACAAGACGTATCCATACTTGTTATATTAGACTTTTAGGTCAAAAATGTATAAAGGATTAGAAATGGGAGTTACGTTCATAGGTCGTATCACTAGATTATCAATAGCCCTTGGCAATATTCCTATCACTAGCAATAGAATCTTGTGCTAAGGGCTTAATTCGATCAAAATATTTATTGTCTGACAGCCAAGCTGAATTAAAGACTCTAAGATCTATAACTTAAAGTTGTGAGTCCCTGAGAGCTAGCGACTTAAGCAAGTGACAAAATATACAAAGTATATTTGTGTACAAAGTATAATGAGTGCCAGGTTATAAATAAGTTGATCGAAAGGAGATTACCGAAAGTCTTCCTATAGACAGAGAATCATTTTGTTCTTCTTCTTCCTCTTCTTTTATCGGACCAGAACCATTTTGCGTTAATTCGAAAATTTCCGTCGTGGAAGACGTCACAACACTGTTTGAACAAAGCTAGACTTAGAGTAATCAAAGGCGTTCTCAATGGAACTCCTGATTCCGATATAATATATGTAAGATGAAAAAAGGTTCGGCGAGAATGCAGAGAAAACGGTCGAAGATATTGTTTGCAACTGCAAGAAACATTTTCCCCATGAATATCAAGAACACATCTTTTTATAACTTCATAATCAACTTAGTAACATATAACTGAGAAGTAAAATTATTAAGTTAATAAAAGTAAAAATAAATATACGTAGACGGTAAAATTATTTTGTTATGAACTTAAATTTTAGTTTTTTATATTTCTATTTTTTGCCATAATATACTTGTTTTTATCTTAGTGCTCATTTCCCTATTTCTTTTGCACATGTTTCATTGCACATTTTATATCAAAAGCTACAATTTAATAAAATTAAAGTACAAATTTTCTTTTTCCATTTTTTTTATTATGTTTACGATTATAAACTTCTTTGTCAAACAATCATAAGACGTTTAAATGAAAACGAACGCCTACCACATAGGGTATTACTATAGGGGGTTGAAAGTTGACGACAGAAATTATTGGAGTGGAGATAGGGCAAGTAAAACAAACCAAAACGTTGTGAATGGCCACTCAGGGTTTAGTTGAAGAACTGGGTCGTGGATAAGTGAATGACAAAGGGACTGAAATGGGTTAACTACCAAAAATGAAACAAAAGGGTACTTACATGAATCTCCTGGAACAAAACACAATACAAGAAGGTTCTCAAGCTATTTAAAATGGACGCCGCTTTGAGGAATCTTCCTGCCAGATAAAAGAAAAGTCTCTTCCTCCCTAAAAACATAAAAGGGGATTAGAAACTTTTTTTAAAATAAATAAACAAAATGGTTTAGGAAAAAAGTTACACATTTATTACTGTCTCACCACAAACAGTTACCAAAGTAAATAGTACAAAAATTATATATTAATAATTACAAAAAATAAATACAATAACCAAGAAAAGCACTTACTATGTTAAGTATATCAGTTTACAAACTCTAGAAGTTGGAGATACTACAAAATTTACAATTGTTAATGGGCGACAATTTGTAGCAAAAATAAAATTCTACAAATAGAATTTGTACAAATAAAAAAAAATATCTTTTTTAAATGAAACTATGCATAGAGGTTAACATTTTTCTAAAAACAAAACAAAAACTAGATCTGGTATGATTAGGTATTTACCAAATGTCAAAAATAGTGCTAACTGTCATATGTCAATACTAAATCTTAAAACTAAAAACAATTAAAATGACAGCTAAGCCACACCCTAAGATCTACAGTTTACATTATTACAATTTCTTAAATTGTTATGAAAGCAATTATTATTAGAAAATGTTTATTTCTCCTTTATAAATCAAATACAAAAGTTAGCTGAATTTCACTAAAATTACTTTAAGTTTTTTCTTTTTAAAAAACTGCATCTCACACTTCGAATTATATTCTGAAACGGCTGAAAAACGCCGCAAATCTTTTAGATACAAATCTCTTATGTGAGAGACGACATAAAACAGAAACAGTGATTAGTCTTATCTGAACTGATACATTACATTGAGTATAAATCACTTTTTTTAACAAATTTGCCGGTTCACTCAAACTACCACGCCGCCTGTCTGCTTCAGAATGTTTACTAAACTGTGGCAAATATGCTAGAAAATAGCTGGCTGATTTCTATACAGATATGTTGTAAACAAACCTCCATTTAATAAAAGAAGCCTCCGTTATAGCCATATTAAAACCAGGGAAATGATCAGCCCCAAAACTACCGACCGATTGCACTGCTGAGCTGTGTCTATAAACTGTTGGAACGCTTAATCTGCAATAGAATTTGTAGAAACATATTTGAATTGATAGCTATTGAGCAAGCAAACCCACATTGAACAGGTTTCCATAGAAAGCAAAAAACTTCCGTTGCTTTCATTGACCTATCAGCTGCGTACAATACTGTCTGGAGACAAGAACTAATCTACAAACTAATCCGTGCCATCCCGTGTAAAAAGGTAACTAAATCATTGATAGCATGCTCACCGAAAGACCTTTTAAAGTCACAATGAGCAACTTTAAAAGTGTCCAAATGAAACTCATAAATTTGGCTACGCTGGCGCTGACGACTGGGCCATTGCAGCAAAATATAATAACATGGATATTAAGAAACAATACTAACGGATGACCTTGCCGTTATGGGAGAATACTTTCGCAAATGGAAAATATGCCCCAATGCAACGAAAACGGAAGTGTATGTTTCCATCTGAGTAATGTCCAAGCCAACAAAAAACTCTCCGTTCACTTTGAAAACAGACTGCTCACTCATAACTCAAAACAAAAATATATTGGAGTGACTCTGGACAGAAGTTTACGTTTTAAAGAACACCTACAAAGAACGGCAGCAAAACTGAAAATGCGAAATAATATAGTCCAAAAGTTATGTTGCACCACATGGGGTCCTCAGCCTCCGTACTCAGATCGTCCGCGCTCGGACTTGTATTCTCAGCTGCTGAATATGCGTCCCCGGTATGGCTCAATAGCAAACACACGAAGATTATTGACACCCAATTAAACCAGACAATGCGAATGATCTTAGGTACAATTAGACCCACACCCAACTATTGGCTTCCCATTCTAAATCACATTCCACCGCCGAAACTGCGAAGAAGTCATTATCTTCTTAGAGAATATCGAAAAATCGATGCTAACCATCAACTACCCATCCATTATGATAAGCTTGATATCGAAATAAACAGACTGCGCTCCAGATATCGTCCATTGCTAAGAGCCAACTCCTTACATCAGGAACATTTCAACCTCACCAACGCTTTGAGAAGACAATGGGAAAGCGACCACAGCAAGCACAATAAATGGCCTGTATCGATTAGAAACCGACAGGCTTTGAACTGACCCGCAATACCTGGACAACGCTAATCAGAATAAGAACAACACCACAGCGGTAGATGTGCTGACAGCTTATATAGATGGGGAAAAGCCCTTACTCCTGAGTGTGAGTGTGGTGCGCAACTACAGACCATCCGTCACATTATTGAAGAATGCCCCCAAAGGCGGTTCTCTGAAGTTTTCGATGGGTTCCTGAATGAGACCGACAATGTTTTACATTATATTAGTAATACATATATGTTCGTTTGTAATACTCCATGTAACGTTTTATATTGATTTTTAAATATGTGTTCTTATTGTATACCATACGATAAATAAAAATAAATGCGTTTCCTGGCTTACCTAATTGAATAAGTTTATTTATTTTGCTTACGTGCTAGAGATATTACATTACGGAATCACCTCGTTACATTGAAATGTAAAATCTCCCAATTGAGCTACTCATATTACTGTTGATATCAAGTTCCATTTCAACTCGTTTTGTCGCATGACCTAAATTTCTAAGAATTTTGAGTCTGTTTTTTTACGGTCCAGGTTTCCGATGCATATGCAACTACAGGAATTATCAGTTCATGTATTACCTCTTCTCGTGGAAAGGAAGAATCATGTTCATTTAATCACCGAGATTTATACTTATACGAAATTATAATTTAGTATATGATAGATTATAAAAGAGAACTTTAATAATATTTCTATATACGATGACTTAACAACAGTTGTGTTTTTATAGATAGATCTCCCGCTAATGAAACATGCTCCTGAATTGTCAACTCTATCGTTACTGGATATCGATGACGTCGACAATTTGTTCTCAGGAAGAGGTGAAGGATCCATAACGGAACTGTTCAGATACATGACATTCAGATCAAAATCAGTACTGACTGCCATTCTCTACGGAGTTTTAAGAAAACTATCGACCCACCTGCCTAGATCTACCACAGAGTATTGTATTAAAAAGTTGGAAGAACTCAAAACAGATTTTGTCAAGATTCTCGGAACAGATGGAGTGTTTATTATTCCTTCTTTTACTGCCGAAGCTCACTATCACGGGGATATATACCGGAAAGTATTCGATTCTTCGTATTTATCTATTTTTAATTCGTTGGGATTGCCCGTTACCAATTGTCCTGTAAAATTTAGCAAGAACGGCCTACCCATCGGTGTCCAGGTGAGTATAAATAGGATAAGTAAGGAATGATATATATTTTTTTTTAATTATGTAATCTAACTTTACGATAAAGTATACGGGTGTAGAATTATTCTATGCATCTTATATTTATACATATTTAGACTCATACAGACCTAGCAACAGGATGCTAATAAATGTTAATCCAGTCCACTCAGTATTAATCATTATCTTTGCCTTTATTCGCTTCGAAAACATATTCTACCTACCACCAGATCTGTTTTTCTTGTTTTCAAGCTTGTTTAGTGTAGAATATCTACTAATAGTATCACATATGTCTTTAATGACTTTGAAAAAGAGACTCTTCTCAATCTAATTTCTGACTATATTTCTCACTTAACAAGATTGGACATGCTACATAGCGCCATCTACTCTGGAGTATAGAAAATAGTTACCATTTTGAATACATGAAGTACATAGTGGCAGCTAAAATAGTTGAAAAAGTCTTTATCTTTCAGAAAGAAATGGTGTTCAACATATCTCGAAACACGCTACAGTGTCAACGAAGAACAGATTTTAAAGAAAAAGGACGCGTATATACAATGCATGCCTTATATAAACATCGAAAAATGACAAACGACAGACAAATGTCTATCATTCCAGACATTTTTTCCTGTGCTCCGAATTCTCAAATCTTCGTCTATGATACTATTTCAAGTTCGTCGGAGTCTTCCGCGTTTTCTTCTTCCACCTGGTTTCAATTCTATAACTTTTTCTTCTTCTTATAGTGCCGTACACCTATAGTGCGTTGGCGAATTATCTTAAGGACAGAAGTTTGTCTTTTGCAGCATGCAAAAGATCGCCAGTGTTATTTATGCCTGCCCAGTTTTTTTTATGTTACGTAGCCACGACATTTGTTTGCGACCTACTCCTCTCTTGCGTTCAATCTTTCGCTGGATGATTAGTTGAGGGATTGCGTATTTTTTTCCTCTCAGAATATGGCCGAGGTATCCAATATTTCGTACCTTGATCAAATTGAGTAGTTCTCTCCCAGTATTTGCCTTTCTTACGACTTTCTCGTTTCTCACCATATCTGTCCATGGTATGCGGAACATTCTTCGCAACGTCCACATTTCGAAGGCATCCAACGTATTAATGGAAGGTACTCTTAACGTCCACGTTTCCATGCCGTATAACAATATGAACCATCCTGTAGCGGAGAATGAAGGAAAGATTGCGGTTACATAGTGGCGGTTTGAATTTGATAAAAGCTTGTTAGGAAAGTCTTATATTGCGTATTCTTTGCACATGACCAAACCAAATTAATTGTGTCTGTTATTCCATTGATATTGTGTATCTTACTTTCATGATCTCTCTGATTCTTGTATTTGTTATTTGCTAACTGCTCTTCTCCAACAGTCCATTTTTGTTACTTGTAGCATTTTTATATTTTTTATGAGCTATGTTTTTGTGCTTTTTTACAATGATATTATATATATTCTGGTTTTGATTTCTTTGCTTTGTTTCGTGATACATGATTATTTTTCTTCGTATTCAGCTTTTCCCTTTTCAGGGGTCACTGTTCCTTACTCTTCGTCGCCACTCATTTCTGTCCATCGAGTCTTCTTCACCTAAACTTTTCTCTCTTAAGTCCTCTCCCACACAGTCCTTCAATCTTCACCTCGATTTTCCTATACCTCTCCTTCTATCAACTTCTAACAGCTCTATCCTTCGTTCCACGTAGTTTTCACATCTACGTCTGACATGACCAAACCATTGTAGTCTTTGTTCTTGAATCTCTTTTAAGACTTTAGTCATTCCGGCTCTTTGCCTAATCAATTCTCTTCGATCCTATCCCTTCTAGTCTTACCTAACATCCACCTTAACATTTTTATTTCAGTTACCTCCATCTTCTTTTCCTAAATCTTCTTTGCAGGCCACACTTTACCGCCGTATACCAACGCAGGTCTCACCACATTTATGTATATCTTTTCTTTCAGCCCTTCCCCGATTTTTCGATCACAAGCTTATTCACTTCCAGTTAAATCAACCAGCCTATATCCTGTGGGCAATTTCTCGATCCAGTGTTCCATTTTCCGTTACGTGGGAGCCAAGGTATTTAAATTATCCTACTTGTTCTACTTTTTCTTCAAACAATTATATGTCCTCAACCAATTCTCTTCCTCCATACCATTAACACTCCGTTTTTGACCTGCTAACCTTAAGTCCTTTATCTTCAATAGCCCTTCTCCAATATTTCTTTGCTTTCTTCTACTAACACGATATCATCAGCAAAGAACGTTAATCAAGGAGCCTCCTCCCTTACTTTCTCTGTCAGTACATCCATAACAAGATTAAACAGGTAAGAACTCAGTGAAGAGCCGTGTGCAAACCAACCGTCACTGGAAAACTTTCGGTCAATCTGACAGCAGTCCTTACTTTGGTGTACGCTGCCTCATACATATCCTTCACGAGCCTTAAGTACTTCGCAGGAACCCATTTCTCTCTCATACATCTTCATCGTTCTTATCTAGGAACTGTGTCATATACCTTCTCAAGATCTATAAATATTAAATATAGCTCTCTTTTTCTCGCTGCATTTCTCTATTAACTGTCTCAAAGTAAGCAAGACATCCAAAGTCCTGCTTTCCGGTATAAGCCCAAATGGTTCTTCTCCTATCGATGTCTCTCCCCTTAACCTTCGCTTTAGAGTTCTCACAAATTTTTATTCTGTGCGACATTAACTTTAACCCTCTATAGTTCTTATAGTCCTAAATGTCATCACACTCTCTCTCTCCACGCATTGGGCATCCTTTTTTCCTCATACATCCTACTCATTATTTTTTACAAAATATTAACCACTTCATCTCGTAGAGCCTTCCAAACGTCCACAGGTATTCCATCAGATTCCCTTATCATGCTTCATCCTATTTAACGCCTCGACAACTTTATATCTCGCTAGCTCTGGTATTCTCATTTGTGACCCCGCATCCTCTGTATCTCCTCTAGTGTTCTTCATTTAGCATTTTTCTAAAGCACTCATAAAATCTTTCCTTTATTTCAACATCGGTTCTTAACACTCTTCCATCCGCACTCTTAATCTGCTGCATGTGGGTCAAGTCTTTTGATGACCTGTCCCTTGCTTTAGCAATGATGTATAACCTCTTCATCCCTCTCGTGTTTCCAACTCTCCATACACCTGCGCAGGCGATATTTCCTTAGCAATAGCTACAGGGCGCTTTGCTTCCCTCTTTGCTAAATTATATATATCCTTATCGTCCTCTCTTTTAAATCTGTCATACCTCTTTCTAGCTCTTTCTTCTCTCTAACTTTCTGTTGCACTTCATCATTCCTTCACCAACTTTCGTTGTCTCTCTCTGAGGCCCTTTACCAGATGTTTTTCCTAGAACTTCCTCTCCCACTCGCATAACAACTTTATTGTTATCTTTTTCCACAAGCTCTTCCAGCACTCTACTGTTAAAGACTATTGCCAAATCCTTATTCGTTGACTTTCACCACTTTACTTTGTGGTGTCCTACTTGCTTTCCTTTCCGCCTCACCTTTATCACCGTATCATCAGTCGGTTTTGGCTAGCTACACAGTCACCCTTTATTACTTTACGGTTGGTACCTCTTTTAGGTAACTTCTTCTACACAGTACAAAATCTTTCTGACTTTCCCTTCAACCGCTACTATAGGTAACATACTTCAGTCTTCTTAAAGAACTTATGATAGCCAAATCCCATGCCACGGCAAAGTCAATCACACTATTTCCATTATCATTTCTTAGTTGCAATTAGCCAAACTGTTTGTCTGTATTCAGTTAAACACTCAGTATTGTATCACTTCTTTTGGTTACCCTTACAAAGCTGATCCTGTTCGAATTACTGTATATTAACTTTCATCCATCTCCAAGGTCTCTCGACTTATTATCTTTTCAAAGAGTTACCTGCTCACAAAGTACACCAATTATTCTCCTCTGCATGAAATCGGCGAGCTACCTTCCTTTACCTGTCATGCTTCCGACCATAAATAATAACTGATACATAATACTCCAATTGTAAAGTGGAAAATATGGTGAGTAACCTTGCTTTTCTCTCTCCGAATATGTCTTAGATTTGTACCACTATCTGATGAAGCATATCAATTTAGGTCGAAACATGTTATCGCGTAAATAAAGAACAAAACTAACAGACTTTTGTAGAGAGAATAGGCATTTTGGTTTATAATACGGCATCCTTGCTTCGACTTCCAGTAAAAAATGTACTCAGTGCTACTTGCTATGTTCAGACCATTTGTCTTGCTTAGAGAATTTACATGATCCACTATTTGTTGTAGTTCTTCGATGATGTAATTCAAGTATAAAATGCACAAAAGTAATAAAAAGTGTATTTTACCCTCTTTTTATTAAAAATTCCTTTATAGATATTATTCTTCTTCTTCTTCCTCTTTATAAGAAATTCTGCTTATTCATTGGCGGAATAATACGTCTACGGAAGGTTGTCACTCCATCTTTTGCGAGGTCGTCCGATACTTCTTTTGTCGATTGATTGCCTCTTGCTATTTTGACGACACAGGTCTCTCATTCTGTTTATGTGGTTATTTCGTTCTTTTTTTTTTCTATTTTGTGTCCATTCATTTATATACTGTACGTTACAATTTCTTCTAACGTCTTTACTTCTCTTTCGATCTGTCAGCGTATTTCCTGTAATTCTTCTCAGTACTCTCATCTCTGCCGTTTCTAGTAGCGTTTGCGCCAGATCTTATTTCTGAGGCATGTGTCATTATTGGTATTACACTACCTTTATAAATTCTTGACTTCATCTCAGTTTTAATGTGTCAGTTTCGCCATATAGTGTTATTAAGACATGCCAGTCTATTTGCTTTTTGTGCTTGATCTTTCACTTTTTTGTCCAGGTTTCCATAGCTAAACAATTCCCAGGTGGTATTTTATTTCCATTACTTGTTCAATACTTGTACAATCCATAGATATTACTGCATACTATCCTGAACTCATACAAGTCTAAGATAAACGTATATTTGTTTCACCAACCTTAGTTGTTTGATATTTCGCCAAACTGAGTATCACTCTTTCTGATTTCTGCGTTTGATAAAAATTTTTATTTTTAACAAAAACTCATTTGTTTCGCTACTAGTCCGGGAACTTTTTTTTCAAAATTTTGATTAATATCATAAAGATCTTTTTTTTAGGTTGTCGCAGCTCCGTATTGTGACAGACTAACACTAGCCGTTGCAGCAGAAATCGAACGTGAATTTGGAGGTTGGCGACCCCCATATAAAACTTAAGTTTTAAAATTTCACTATTAATGTTAATCATCCTAGGATAATTTATTTTTCTCTACATCATAAACACGTAACATTACGCATGGAAGTCTGTGATCTTGGTTATATTTTAATTTTCTTAGATGTGCAAATAAACTATTTTTCAATACTTGTGTTTTTTTCTAAATTGTTGTTGTTGTTGTTGTTGTTGTAAACGTTGTGTAATGTTCTTTCAAGAAACCTTATAGTGATAATAAATAATAAACCAAGAGATACTAAATACCTTATACTTCGCTTTGAATTTTATTACCAAATAACATTTTTTCCCCGCTCTATTCTTTCTATGCCACTGCTCTTCACTATTTACTTCTCATCATATATCTCCTCTACCATATTGCTCACTACATATTTTTTCATTTCTCTCTTCTTTTAAATCCATCTTCCATTTATTCCCTCTCTATCTCACTGTCCTTGATTCTCTCTATCTTTTCTTGATTAACTGTATTTCTATAATATTCCCTCTCCATTCCTTTCCTTAATGTGAAACTGGCTTTATGCAATCACAAGAAGAAGACATGCAACTTCCACAAAAGACAGGTAAATATGTTGCACGTACTCACCATACAGAGTGATTATTTTCTTGCCTCTTCACACTCTATAAGCGCTGTTTTACTTATGTTATACATGGTTTTACTTCTATTTTAACGTGCATGCCTTTTTTAAGTGATTTGAAAAGATTAAATTGAGAAGTCAGATGTGCATACTGCCGTCCTACGAAAGACCCCGTATCTCCAGGTAACATTGTTTTGAGAAAATTGCGGTTTAATATATTTTGTTTTGACCTATTACCTGCCATATTGGCTTAAAATTAATGTTATAATGGTTTTTGACTACCCTGAAAATTATTATGTAAAAATAAACTTGATAAATAATCAGATGCTACTAGAAAATGAAGTTACGGGATTTAAAATTTCTTTGAGCATGCAATAGTTCTTTGTAAAAACCCCCGTAAAACGAAAAATTGTTTTTTATGTGGTTCTTACTACGTAAAACTAATAAGAAAACTGAAGATGCTATTTTAGTTTAGAAAAATTAAAGGCAAAATAAAATGGTGTTATGTAATTTTATTTCAATCAAAATACACAGTAAGTAAAATTACTAATTCGGATTTGACAATGGAAGATTCTGCCAAATTTTGTCTCCAAAGAAGTGAAGATTCTGTCTCCAAAAAAAATAAACATCGAATATACAACACTATTATAAAGAGCATCGTAATGTATGGAAGTGACGTGTGGCAGTTAAAGGCAACTACTGAAAGAACACTACAAGCCACGGAAATGGACTACTGGAGACGGGCCGCAGGAAAATCAAAACTCGAAAGAATTAATAACGAACGTATACGAGAGGTTATGGGAGTCACACATACGATTGTCGAAGATATAAGAGTACAACAACTAAAGTGGTATGGACATGTACAAAGAATGCCAGAACATCGTCTGCCCAAACAGATTATAGATTGGTCACCACATGGAAAGAGAAAAAGAGGCCGACCCAGAAAGAGCTGGAGAGAAGGAATAGACAGAGAGATCCGAGAGAGAGGTTTAGACGAAGATCTTTGGGAAGATAGAGATGCGTGGAGATTGGGCATCGGAAGACGTCGGAGGACGTTTTAAACCGATTATATATATATATATATATATATATATATATATATATAATATATATATATATATATATATTATATATATATATATATATATATATATATATATATATATATATATATATATATATATATAGATTCTGCCAAAAATGTCATCGATTTTCAGGCATAACTTCACTTAAGTTTTTTAGAATACTTTCCTTTTTAGTTTTTGCTATTCCACATGGAGCGCTCATGGGGTCCGGCCATCGAGCAATAAGACAAAAGAGGGAATCTAATCCTTATGAAAAGGAGACCAAAAAAGTGGCCTCTGATGGCGGACATATCCGGAAATGCGAATGCGCCAAATTTAAATTTTCCGACACTTATCAACAGTAGCTATATAATATTTCGCAGAATGTGTCTTAGACGAGAAAGTTTTAATTAATTATTAATGGTAAGAGTCTAAAATGCGACACAATTGTTAAAAAACTTCAATATAAATAAGATTTCATGTGACATTTGGGACAAACAATAACATAACCCAACTAAATTTGATGTCAAACAAGGAGAGAGACTCTCTTTCCTTGTTTAATGTGGCCTCTAAAGATCGCACTTCCTGTCTAACAATATGTTTGCCCCCACTACCTTTACATTCCCTCTATTGTCTTTTTGCTCGATGGGTCCGGCACAGCAGTAAAACCATTTTTCTTTATTTTTATTTGCAAAAAGTCTAACTCTCGCATATCTTCTTTATAATCCGTTTGAACTTTTAGTGTGAAAGCTCCTTGTTCAACTATAATTTTTGTTATCTGAGAAAGGTATATTCGTGGACAAACCTTCTTTAGTTTTGCTTGCGATGAAACATTTTTCCATTCACGGAAATCAGACACCATCATTTCTTTGACATCTACGCCTCCTAGCTTCCACAAAATGATAAAAGTCATACACTTTTTCATCCTTTTTAGAGAAAGTTCTACCTAGTGATGAAAGCTAAAATATCCGCGGACATGAAGCTATGTCCAGGTTGTATCTGTTGTATATGATGCGGATAGCTTGTTCGAATTTATTATATACACCAAGAATGACAAAAAGGACCAGTTTTGTTCTGAGAGGAACAATTATCTAACCAAAAGATAAAGTGTTTAGCATCCCGATTATGTAAAAGAAATATATAAAATGTGCTGATTAAATCTTCTTTAGATCTCCCAGATATGGCTTTATGCCATAAGGCTGAATATGGTTTTCTAGACCTAGATTTACCCAAGGGCATAAAATTTTCGTTATATACGACAATTCTTTGAGTAAATATCACTTTTTTGAACATGTCGATTCATGTGGAAGCATAATTACTTTTTCAAGGTCTGCAGAGACTTTTATCGTATCTTGATTAAGGTGTCTCTCAGCATTATGTCGATATAATTCTCTAGAAAGTTTTGCTTTATTAATATGTTTGCTCCAATTTTGGTAAATTCCGCAGGTCTCAAGTAAAGTTTTTTTTTTAATGAATTGTATTATGTAACTGAAATCCCTCACAAGTTTCACACTCTTCATGTCCCAAGTTTGTGAAAGAAATATTGTTTGATTTAAATACTTTTCTATAAACTTCATAAGAACACTTATGATTTGGATGTTTTTCGATATAGTCTTTATGCATTAAATTAATAGTTAGATCTAGGGAGGAATGGCCAATGTGACGTTTCTTAAAAATATTTTGTCTAACAAAATTATGAATTGGCCAATCATTGTTCTTTTTATAACCCAGTGTAGTAGGAAAAATATCTTGAAAACATTTTGGCTTTCACCCTCTGAATTCTTAAAAACATATTTTAAGCTGCTTATTTTTGTAATATCTTAGCATGATCGCCTTCTTTTTACGTCAGTTCTGGTTATGCAATTAAGAATATATGTTTTTTTTAACCAATTTAAATCCCAGTACACTTTATTTATTTCTCATTTGCTCCCTTGCTCATATTTTTATTGTTTTCTTGAAACTAATGTTGTTTGAAAAGATTGTCGTTTCCTTATATTACCTTTTTTTGTATACAGTGTGCGTTTTGTTTCGTTCGTGTTTACTATATTATCATCATTCGTGTTTTGGTTGTTATTAATGACTTTAGTAGAACTGGAAGTATTATCTTCTGTCATAAATGTGTTAGAAATATTACTGCATTGTAAACAGGTCCGTTCTCTGCATCTGTAAATAAAACATGTTGTTAGGAATAATTAATTTTTATTTTTTGTATTTTTTATATTACCATCCCCAACATTATTTGGTTTTGACCATATTGCATCAGTATCACTTTGTTGCTGCTCAGAAGGTTGCATATCATTGTGTTCCATTCCATCAATGTTATCGGAACATAGACCATTTTCTGATAATTGCAAATCTGTAAATATTTTAGTAATTAAAAACTAATTACATTTTTTATGTGTAAAATTTGTTACTTTGGTATTTTCTGGAAAGTGAGAGGTTTCAATTAATTCTTCATTTTGGTAGAATTGTAGATAAGAATTTGTATTTTCTTCATCTGGACTAATACGAAATCTATTACAAATAGAAGGCACCTTCAAAAAACAACCATCAGTAGTCTCTTGTTCCTCAGGAAGTAGTGTTGGAACTTTCAGTTCACCGCGTATTATACCTAGACTTAGACTATTGTCTAACTGGACAAAATTTTGCGTTTCTGAGACACAAATTTCAATATCGTCCTCGGCACATGAGCAAATCTTGATAACGTTCTTTTTGAACCAATGAAACTATTAGTTTTGCTCTTGAATATATTTCTAAAATTTAATGTAAAATTAGAACTAGGGTGTCACATAATCAACGGCTATTAGATCAAATATGAAAAATGTTGAGTTTACTTTTAAAAATTCATAACTAGACAACTAGGTATTAATTCTGAAATTCTAAAAGATATAATAGAGCATGTTTGACCAGTGTTCACAATAATATGTAAAAAATGTTCGGCATAAAAATATTATTTTTTTGTTTTGTTCTTGATCTAATGGCCGCTGAGTAGAATAAGTTACTTTCAATTCTAATATGCCTAATGTGTTATTAATACACCGTAGTAAATGTACATAAAACACATTAATTTTATTATTTTGTAGTCTTACCTTAGGTAATTTTTATTCTATACTTAGTTTTCAAATAGCACTGTATCAAAAGCCACGTCGGCATTCGTCTGAAAGTACGAGTATTACTATCTTACATACAGATTGAACGAATTTAAAACGGATCATAGAATTTAATATATGTCTGTTTGAACTGCATTTGAAATAGTGGACCAATATAAAACTTGGACAAAAATAAATCCATACCCGGTGATAGACATTGTATAAAATATCGTTCAACTATCTGTCTCCTTTTAGGACGCACCATAGTCTAAAGCGCTGCCCAAAGTCAACGTTGCCAATCGCCGTGTAATAATCCGATTTGCGGATCTTTTTGAGAGTTACATCTTCTTCGTATCTTTAAATAAATCGGATATTTGCCTATATTTTTCATTGTATTTACCA